CACTATGCCCAGAAAGCGAAACCACTGACTGAAATGACAAGAAAGATGGAAAAGAACAAGTTAGCGTGGAATACCGAAAGAGAAGAGGCATTTGAAACCCTCAAACAAGCTCTAGCATCTATGCCAGTAGTCAAGGCTGCTGACATAAAGAAACCCTTCGTATTACGTACAGATGCATCTGATAGGTGTATAGGCGCTGTGCTTATGCAGGAACACGAGGGTCTTCTTCACCCGGTGTCATATGGCAGCCGCCAACTTACGCCCCGGGAAGAGAGATACTCTGCAATTGAAAGAGAGTGTTTAGCGTTAGTTTGGGCGATCGCGAAATTTCATATCTTCCTTTATGGAACCTCCTTCGTCGTTCAGACTGACCATCAACCGCTACGATACCTCTCTCAAGCCAAGCATTTGAACAGCCGGATCTTGCGCTGGAGTCTCGCATTGCAAGAGTACACCTTTCGCGTTGAGCATATCAAAGGATCAGAGAACGTAGGTGCTGATTATATGAGCAGGCTACAGGTGTAGGTGCTAGCTATACAACATTAATGTAATAATGTACCATATGCCTAGGGACTCTCACATACAGACTATTCTCTTGGTGCAACAGTTCTGTACATTTGTTTGTCGTAAGTCTTGTCTCCCGCGCACTTTGGACAGTTTTTTTTTAAAAAAAAAAAAAAACTTTTGAAAGGGGGGACTTTTGTCATGATATGCGCGGTAGGTTCATCTGGTGCGCGATGTTTGTGAGTTTGTGCTGTGCCGTGCGCCGAAGAAGATGACGATGAGACAAGGAAAAGGCGGAATCGTGTCGTCAAAGTCAAGCCAAGCCATGGGGAGAGAGAAGAGGAAGACGAGGACGGCGCGTTCGAGAGGAAGGATCCGAACGAAACAGTGGCAGGCCGAAGCGCTCGTCGGGTCGTGGTCCCGAAGCCTACCTGTGCCTGTGGTCCGCACGAGCCTGGCTCCCTTCTACCGTGTGATCCAGCAGCCGGCGCCGGTCCGTTGTACTCGGACCCGGGCGTTTTCCAGACCTGGGCCTACTACTGGCTGTCCGGGACGTGCTTGCCACACATCGACTCTGCCTCACGCTCCGCTCCGACCATGCCTGAGTCATCGCTGATGTCGGCGTAAGACGCAACGCAACGCATCGACTCATCTGCCTTCGACGTCACACGGTGAAGTGTTTCAAACCTTGTGTAGTGCAGTGGGGGACTACGCTAAGCGTCAGACCTTGTCTTTCGAGAACGTGTGTCGGGCTCGTACCTAAGGCAGTTCTTCGCTGTTGCCATGTAACACGCCAAGCTTCATTATCGTTTTTTTTTTCGTTTTTTTTTGTGGCATTAAAGCCTCATAACTCAAGTTGCAAATGTCTTCGTCAGTCTCGACAACGATTATCTAAGTTGCCGTCCTCGTCTTCCTCTTCTCTCTCCCCATGGCTTGGCTTGACTTTGACGACACGATTCCGCCTTTTCCTTGTCTCATCGTCATCTTCGTCGGCGCACGGCACAGCACAAACTCACAAACATCGCGCACCAGATGAACCTACCGCGCATATCATGACAATGGATCAATTATCGGCTACAATTCTTGCGTTATCATTAACAGCATTCATAGAAGAAATGGAAGATACAACCACCGAACGTTGCTATTTACGTCAACTTGTCGGTTTGCGATACACGTTCAGTGATTAGCTTTCTGCTTCGTTGAGGTTCGTTAAATATTTACAAGGAAATATTATTCTATCCGGAGACAGAAAGGGTAGAATATATTTCAATCCCAAATAAAATAATTCACTCAGTTCCTTAACTCGTTGCTGCAGCGTTATATCAAGGATTATAGCAAGATGACATGTACCTGCTTATACGCAGCCATCCACTGTAACTTGACACGAACGCTGCCTTGTGGTGGGTTCCCTTGATGGTCAGTGCTACTTGCATGACGCTAGTCTCGAGGTGCCGGTCGCACTCGGCTCTCGGGAACAGTCTCACCCAGGGTTCGTCCCAGTCGTGGCAACAAGGTGCACCGGCGCTGTTCCAGCGTTTCGCCGCATGGACCCGGCTGGTTAGGTGGTCGTCCTGAACGGCAGAGTCACCGGACACGCTACATGCTTCGTCTTCGGTGTACGCTGATTTTACGTCCAACGACATCGGGATGTGATTCTTGTAAGTTGGTGACTGTGTCAAGCAAGCGCACCCGCGGCCACCGAAGAGGTAGCGAGTTGCGCTGTCGCTTGGTGGACTGAGGCTCATTTCTGGTAATAGACCAACGCGGTTTGCTTCCACGAAGACAGGAAACGCGTTCCAAAGCAACAGCCGCACGTGCCGCTCGTACAAGCTCGTGAGGGCGGGGTTCTATTTGTTTGTTTATTTGAGCCTTACAGAATATGGCGCATACCCACTCTTGGGGATTGCTTAATTCTTTGTTTGTTAGACCCATGTGGGCTTAACCCACCACAGGGAATCGGTCATGAATCCATTGGCAGTGTGACTTGGACAAAAAGGGCGAAGAGGAAGCTCAAAAGAGTTTTTGTTTTAAATATACTAAATGATTAGATTGTGCAACGTCAACAAGGGATGGCATAAAGAAAACAATTTGAAACAAAATAATAAAAAATGGCCTGCATTTTATAGCTTCAGTTTTTGTTGTTGTCGGTTTCATATTTCAACGTACTTGCGGCCACGAAGCATAAAAGACGAAGCGACAATGATGCACGTGTTATGTATTGAAAATAGAAAATATAAACAGGAAAAACACGTTTTGCGAGTGGTATTGAAACTGTAGTCTTTTTTCTTTTGCTTCTTTTTTTCTCTTGAGTTATCCAACAAGTTATTTTAAAACTATCTACTGTAAATATTTTGACATTATGAACAAGTTCTTTTATTAGCCAGGCACCACTCGTTTCATGACCGATCCACCGTGGCAAAAGCGTCAAGGTAAAAACGTAAATCAATTAATCAATCAGTCAGCCAATTAAAACAACTAAATGCTGTTGTTTTCCGCACCGGTGTGCCAAGACCTCTTCTTAGATGTCGCGAATCAAATAATTTTCGAAAAACTGCGTGCAGACTTTTTTATACCAACAACTCGTGTCCCGTGTGCCGATATACCGAAGGGAAAGATCAAAATGTATTTTTCGTACTGCTCGGCCTATATTCTTTTACCGTAATGCGCTATACCAGTTCAACTATTTTACCACTCTCGCGGCATACCTTTGATAGTCAGCAGATAGTACAGCTTCTAACGTTTTGCCGTTACCAACCAGAGAATCGTGTTTCAGTGTAGCCACCTACGTTTCCACATTGTGTGTTGTTTGTGAATGTTGTGTGATTTTGTGTTGGTTAGGTAGTGTGATTCATTTATTCTTTGCTTCACTGTGAGCATTTCTTTGTTTTTAACGGTCTTGATCATATTCTTCTCTCACGAGCGACATTTTGTTCTTCTCCTTGTTCACCTATTGTCCGTGGCGCATACGCACTGTGGAAGATTGGCCAATAATTGAGTGGTTTTATAAAATATTATCCAGCTTTATAATAATGAAGACTTTATAATAGAAAGATTTCCCATACCTTCGAAAATCGTGCTGCTTGATCTAATGCATGTATTTATTTAAAGAAAGTAATTTTTTCTTCAGTTACAGCAATACTTTCATTTTTACACGTATATACTGATGTTATAGACACGTTAAGACATCTGTGTTCTTGTTTTTATTTCTTTTTAAATTGTCACATTCCACTGCCACCAGAACTTATAATTTCACTGTTTTCTAAACTAAGCTTTCAGGTAAGCTTTGAAAGGCCGCATATTGAGGTCGAAGCTCCTTAGGGTCGAGCAATTTCCCCTGTCCGTCAGCGTGACACGCTTGGCACATACGCGCTGCGAGATGGCGGTACTTGGAGTGTTCACTAGATGGACGCACAGACGGATGCATGGACAGATGCACAGATAAGCAGACGGAAGGACGGATGGACGGACGCTTGAATGGACGAACAGACGGGTGGACGTACGCAAGGGCGGAAGGATGGACAGACGCACGCACTGGTGTACGGACGCACGGAAGCAAGAACGAACGGATGGAGAGGCTGAAGGCCGCTTCGCCCCGCTCATCCTCCTTATTCCGTGGATATACTGTGATTTTTTTTCATTCAAACCAAACTAAGGGTATAGTGTGCACGTACACACATGTTACGTGGTTCAATAAACTTTAAAAAATACCAGGAATGAGAATTGCATGATACATTTTGTCTGGCCCTATTTTCACGCCGAAATGTTGGAGTGTAAGGTCAGAAATTAAAAAAAAAGATTTCTTTTCGTGTTTTCGAAGCGTTCGCTCAATGGAAATTTTGGAAACTTCGTATGCTGGCTTTAGGCACCCACAGATGACACGACAACTTATTTTTATCAGTTAGCAAAAATGTACGACTCAGCAGTTTACGTGATTGTTTACTAATTCGCAAAAAATATCTTATCCTATAGTATGTATTAGAGAATGAAACTGTAAAACCAGACGAGTTTCAAGCCTACTAAAAGTAGAGCAGTGGCTTCAGTTAGAGCTTTACCATCGCACGCTAACAGTCAGTATGCAAATGAGCTAACAAATTTTAACTCTAAACAGCTTTTATTCAATCACACAAATTTCATAATGACACAAATCGTCTTAATTAATACATGAAAGAACGAAACAACATCGCTGCAGTTATATCCGTGCGAAGTTGCCGTTAGAGGGCATGATCTTCTCGTGGATTGTAACATAAATTAGAGCTCGCAGCGCACACGAAGTACGTCCTAAACCAATCTAGGCCTTGGTGAGGCACCCTTTGACAAATAAAGGCCCAAAACCTTCTTGCCCCCAGTTGGCGAAGTGACCGCGCAGCCGATGGTGTTGAAGCGCATGGCGCTCGCCACGACAATGGACGAGAGAACGGCATTCGCATATCGCCATGCAGAGGTAAGTGCCCTAGCTACAGTGAAAAAAACCATTTGGCTCTGGTGAGCCGCAGTACCTCCGGCGGTGCAGAGGTCAGCCTCATAGCGGTGCTGCACGACCTGCCGTCCACATGCGGTGTTCTGCACATGCTCCGCCATTGTGCATGCCGGATTTTGCCTCGGCTTCCTGGAGAAATAAAAGGAGAGGTATTTCGTTTAGCCGGGCATGTAGCGCGTAGACAGGATAACCGCAGGTCGTTAAGGGTAACTGGATTCCCAGAGAAGGAAAGTGGGTAAGGGGGAGACAGAAGGTTAGGTGGGCAGGTGAGATTAAGAAGTTGGCGGGTATAAATTGGCAGCAGCAAGTACAGGACCGGGTTAACTGGCGAAACATGGGAGAGCCCTTTGTCCTGCAGTGGACGTAGTCAGGCTGACGATGATGATGATGATGATGATGATGATGATGATGATGATTTTGTTTAGAACCGAGAGATGAGTACAACCAAAAGCGCCAGCTTTATGTGTTAGTAAATGATAAACATTTTTTTAGCGAACGAAAAGCCATCCGGCTGTCTCAAACTTTCTTGCCTTTTCATGAAGTATATAGACTTATTGATACCCTTTCCACCATTGTGGCGACAATACTTCTGCATTGACTCCTAATGACTGCTCAAGGGGAATCGTGAATTTTCGCGCAAGCAGAATTATAGTTGAAGCGGCATTCGTTGTAGCGAAGTTTCACTGTAGTCAAATCCCGTACTAGTATAAATTTCCTTCAGTAATAGTTGCTCGCGGAGTGGAGTGAAATGATCGGTTTCTACAAAAGCAGTTTCCTTAAGGTTACAATTGATGAAAATAATTCCGAGCTCTCAAAATAGGCAGTGTGTAACCTTTTAAAGTCAATGCCAAGTGCGACCGTTAAAACTAAGTGATGTGCCAGACAGACAGACAGACAATGAACTTCATTTGATCCTGAGGAGCTTTCGCGGGAACCCCTATCGGGACCCGCGGAAGCCGCTTGCCGCGTCCAAGTCGGGACTGGGACACCGTGATGTTCCGCCCTTTCTTGGGCCCTCTGGATCGCCTGGATTTGTGCTTTAAGCGATGGGCTCCGGAGTGCTTCTTCCCAGTCGGCTTCGCTGGATAGAGGGCCATTAGGTAACGCGGGGCATTGCCAAAGCATGTGCGCTTAGGAACAATAAATTTCATTACATTCCGGACAACTTAAGTCAACGTCTGTGGAGATACGACTAAGAAGCCCCCGCGAGGGGAACTAGCCCGTCTGGAGCATTCTAAGTGTAATTGACTGAGACCTATCTAACTTCGGGTGAGGAAGAGGATATTCTCTTCTACTTGGCTGATAGTGAGATGTCATTTCATTAAACGTAAGGAGTGGATCGTTATGCTGAATTTCATGCTGACCCCATAAGGCCTCTATGCCGCCGCGGCGCTTTAGATCTCGCGCACGGTCATGGGCAAGCTCGTTGAGGTTAGGTACGTGCTGATGAACGTCCGCACTCTAGAATGGAGGCAGCCTACCGCGCTATGTTACCCGACTCAAATGCTTTGATGGCTGCTCGCGAGTCTGTTAACACGGTGGTTTGTGAGCGGTCGGTCATGGCCAGGGCTATGGCGACCTGTTCTGCAACTGCGCTCGTAGCTAACCTGACCGAGGCTGAGGAGCATAATTCCCCGTTGCCGTCAATGACTGCCAGCGCAAATGTGCTAGACTTGCCGTACTGAGCCGCGCCGACAAAGACAGTCGATTCTCTATTCTCGGCGGCGTTGTGTAATATCGCCCGTGCTCGGGCTTTTCGCTTCCCTACATTGTATTGCGGGTGCATATTCCGAGGGAATGGGTTGACCACAAAGGTTTCCCGGACCTCCCGGGATAAGGTGATTTCCAGTTCAGCAAGCATTTTGGGAGCCATGCCAGCCTTGTCCAGGATGCGTCTTCCTGCCCTGGTTTACGAGAGCATGACCACCCGGGCGGTGACCTGCGTTTCGATCACTTCATCAGTCTCCTTCTGCATACCGCGTTGTCTTAATTTGTCAGAGCATGTGGTTACTGGTAACGCTAACACCTTTTTGATGCTCTTACGGATGAGAGTGTCTAGCTTATTTTTTTCCGTTCTAGTCCAGGTAAGCACCGATGCTACATAATTAATGTGGCTCATTAGGAAGGCATGATGGATCCGAAGTAGGTTGGCTTCACTTAGTCCCTTTCTGCGTCCAGATACTCTAGCAACAAGTCTAAGCATGCTTTCGGTTTTGGCCGTGATGTGCGTCAGGGTTTTGGCGTTACACCCTCTCGCGTCAATCAGTAGTCCTAGGATTCTGATTGAATCTACTCATGTAATGTGCTGTCCATTTCTTGCAGAAAGGGAGAGGGGAATTTGGTCGAGGTGTGGAAGTCTCCTAACGCCTTGCCTGGCTGGCCTGTACAGTAACAGTTCTGATTTGTTTGGAGAAAGTTGGAGGCCTGTGCCTTCTAGGTAGAACTCCGTTTCGTCTAGGGCTAATTACAGCACGTTTTCTACTTGTGCGAGTGATCCTCCCGGGCACCAGATCGTGATATCGTCCGCGTAAAGCGAGTGGCCTATATTGGGCAGGGATCTGAGCCTCTCCGATAAGCCCTTCATGACTATATTGAACAACAAGGGGGAGATGACCGCCCCTTGGGGAGTGCCTCTGGCTCCTAAGGCGAACTCGTCTGTCTTGTGCTGAGCGATCCTTATGGTAGCCGTTCTATTCATCAGGAATGACCTAACCAAGGCCTGAAACTTTGCTCCCAGACCTAGGCTGCCCGTGGCCTGCAAGACAAAGCGATGAGATACGGTGTCAAAGGCCTTGGTCAGGTCAAGGGCTAAGATCCCCCTGACATCCCTAGTGCTGTTATCAAAAATGTGCTTCTTAGGAACTACCATTACATCTTGTGTGAAAGGCCAGGCCTGAGCCGATCATGTTGTGTGGGAATAGTTCCTTGCGTTCTATGTAGTTCGAGATCCTATTGAGGATCGCATGTTCCGCTACCTTGCCTACACACGAGGTTAGCGATATCGGCCTTAGGCTGTCAAGATTTAAGGGCTTACCCGGTTTCGGAATAAGCACAATCGAGGCCGCTTTCCACTCTGCCGGCACGCTTCTACTCTCCCAAGTCTTGTTGACTTTTTTCGTTAGCATCTCAATTGATTTGTCATCCAGGTTCCTTAACAGTCTGTTTGAGATGCCGTCTGGTCCTGAGGCTGACCTGCTATTCAAGTTGTGAAGGACAGCCCTAATTTCAGACTCCGTGAAGGGGCCATCGAGCTTTTTTACCGTGTCACATTCTATTTCAGGATACCCTTCTGAGCATTCTGCCCCTAGCGGGAGATATCTATTCGCTACCTCGTCTAAGAGCGTTTCTTCCGTTCCAACCTCTTGTCTGTGCTTGTGAATCAGGCGGCACAGTGTCTGTCTTTGATTGCCTTTGGCCTGCGTGTCATCTAGCATGTGTTTAAGAAGATTCTATTTCCCCCTTGTACGCATGCGTCCATCGACTGCTGAACAGATCTCAACCCATTGTAGCCGAGCTAACTCGGTGCAGTACTGTTCGATCTCCCTAATAAGTTCCGCAACCCTCTTTCGTAACCGTCGGTTAAGCCTCTGTGTTTTCCATCGCCTCAAAATGGAGGCTTTGGCTTCCAAGAGATGTGCGAGGTGCGGATCCATCCTGGGAACATCGAGCTCGGTTTGAATAGTTTTTGTGGCCTTTTCAACGTCTGCTCTGAGTGTCTGAATGAGTTTGCTGAAGCTGTCGTATCTGCCCGTGTCCTCATTGCTAAGCTTTCGGAAAGCATCCCAGTCCGTCACTTTAATTTCCCAGGCCTGGGGGGGGGGGGGCTCTGACCTGAATGGTAACACTAATGATGAAGTGATTGCTGCCCAGGTTTTCTTGCTTGTTATCCCAGGTTGTTTGCTGTAAATTTTTCATAAACGCGAGATCGGGGGTTGTGTCTTTAGCCACCGACGTGCCCAGTCTCGTGAAAAACCGGAGATCGGTGATGACTGTTAGCGTTAGGTCATCGACTGCCCGTGCTAGATTTATGCCCTTAGCCGTTTGCCTGATGTACCCCCATGCGTTATGTGGGGCGTTGAAGTCTCCCGCGATTACTAACGGTGACTGTCTAGCGAGTGTAGCGGACTTCGTAAACAGGGAGTGGAAGGACTGTCTCTGATCGGATGGTGGGCTGTAAACATTTAGAATGAACACGCTTTGTTTAAGCCACCTGTTAGGAATAACCTCAATGAAAAGCGCCTCCATTCTGCCACGACCTGGCTGAATGTCATGTGCAACAAATGCGAGCTTTTCGCTCACAAGCGTAGCTATACCTTTCTTGGACTCCCCCCTTGCCGCCACCGATTTGTAACCAGCGAAGGTTGGTGTGTCGCACATTGTTTCCTGTAGCAAAATTACCTGGGGCCTTTCTGTCTGAGCCGTAACTCACTGTGGCAGTGAAGTCTTGCGCCTTTGAAAGCTAGCGCAATTCCAATGCCAAATTACTAGATTATTTTGAGTGCCCGCCATTTTGCTAGTTTTAGTTATATTGACCCTGCGGGGTCGCCCCCGCATCATCATTACCTGCAGCTTGTGTACGAACCTTTGGCCTGGTCTTAATAGCCATTTTATCCTCAAGTGCGACTACTTCAATTTCTATGTCTCCTCTTTACTCTCAAGTGCTCCTATGCGCAGCGCGAGTTGATTAATGCTTAACTGATTTTCTTTGGAAATCCTAAGTAACTCTTCTAGCATCTTGTTCTGCGAGCTTTCCACTTGCATCTCCGAGTCGCTCTCATCCTTTGGAGGTGGAGCTTTACGCTTGGCCTAGTTGACCTCGACTTTGGGTTCCTGCCTGCTTTTATGCACGGCGTTATCCGCCACGTTCGCGCCCTCGACTCTGCTGGAAATGGCCTGCGCAGCTGTCTGCTTGCGTAGCTCTCCTTTGAGACTAGCAATCTCCTGACGTAACTGTTCAATCTCACTCTTTTCAGGATGCTCCGGCGATGCCGACCGCGTTAACTTTTTGGGCTTGGGCGTCTCCTCCTTGACTCGATCTGCCCATGTGAGTTCCTCCTAGATTCTCCTTCTAGACGCCGAACACCCTCTGGAACGCGAGCGGCTGTTGCACCGCTGCGCAGCTGGC